AGGTTAGTGTTGGTTTACTCTATTGTATAGTTTGGTTATCTCATACTGGTTTAGTTTCTTGTATATAAACCATCTCTTGTACACATTTTTACATTTAATGAAGATTAATCCAGTTTATCTGAAATATGATGTTAAGCCTTCAATCTAGCTTTGATTACGTTAATTAGATGATTGGCGGGAATATGGTGAATTTTCAATTATATATAAAATTAGTAATGTGATTTTATTGGTATAACTATATAGGAACCGTATATATATAGTATATCAATCATAGTTATTACTCTTATTAGATAAACGTCAAGCGAACCATTTATCATCACATTGTAAGTGAACTCGTTTGGTCGCATTCCTTTGTTTATTATCATCTCAAACCACAGCTTCCTCGCGCTCCCAAACCAACCAATCTCACAGAATCCATGGATCATTATGGTATACACAACTCTGTCTGGTGCATAGCCTCTCTCTTTGAGATTATTGAATATACGATAAGCCTCGAGCTGCTTGTTATTCTTAAACAGCCCCCTTATAATCTCATGGTACGTATAAATATTCGGCAAATGGTTACGCTCTATCATCATCATAAGAAGAATTTCCGACATACAAGCGTAATTCTCAATCTGACAGAAACCAGAAATCAATTTGGCATACGCAACATGTCCAGGATCAAGCCCTTGTCTCAAAACCTGCTTCAGAAGCTCATAGCCTTCTTTAACCTGCCCGCCATCGCACAAAGCTAGAATCAAACACCGAATCCTCTCGAGATCAACCTTCAGACTCTACCATTCCTTGGTGAAGTTTCCACAAACAACCGAGTTTCCTTCCTCGCTTTTAAACAGCCTAACAAAACCGAATTGCAGGTCGCAACTGAAGGTACAATTCCCTTCTGTTTCAGTACACTGTACACTCTAATACCTTCCCCTACCAGCCCTTCTTTACAAAGACACTTCACGTATGGCTCCAATAACTCCGGCTCTGGGTTAAAACGAGTGGTGTCTAGAAAACTTGTCGCAGCTTTCACGGCGTTTGCATCCAAAAGAGCACCAAAGAGAAGGTTTAAAGATACAGGATCAGGTGTGTAACCATCATAGTTGGAACAAAGCCATCGGAAAAACCACATAGAAAACAGAACATTGTTCTGAGATTTCAACAATTCACGGAAAAACAAAGGATCTGAGAAATCAAACCCAAGGGAAATCAGATACCAGAGGTTGCTGCCA